TTTTTGAAATTTTATGTATGATCACTTCCAACATCAATGCACTTCTGCAGAAGAATTTTCCACAAATGAAAAGCTTCCAGCCATTCATTTTGTCAAAAAGATGCAAAATTAATATCAAATTCATTACTTGAATAATCATTCCTCCTGTGATCAGTAGCTGCAGACCGACCAGCTGAATCTCCAGATCTCAGGCCACTTTATTTTTAGTGCCATGTGAACAGCACCTAGGTGACTACAGACACGACATTGTCATTATTCATTATAGTACAGATATTTCTTCGGGGTCAAGAGAGATTTCGGAGATCTGTTGGACAAAATGTGAGGAGTTAAGGATATGGGAGGAGGTTTTCGATAGAACCGTCTTGTAACATGGAGTGTAGTTATGTTGTCGACGTATTGTATTTTGCCCAGAATGACTATGGCATTGCCTTTGTCAGCGTTAACATTAAAATATGCAATGAATGCAAAAAAACAGTTAAACATGCAGAGTATGCAAAAATATGCATTTTACATATTATTATCCTAGCCTTAGACATCAAAATGTTTTCCTCGAAAATAAAAAATGGACTATTTTTGGATTCTCCTAAAAATAAAAAAAAGTTGTCGAATTATTTAAGGTGGCTCCTTTTTTTTAAATCGGCTGTATAGTAAGTAAAATAGGAACAATAGGAGAATAAATTAACCACGGTTTAACTGAGCTTTTCTCAAATTTGTAAGCTCTTTCCCTATCCTCGTATGATATACTTTGCCCGTATTAATTCATTATTAATACTTTAACACGATTGGTAACTTTAATGGGTGGGTTTGCTGCAGCCGTAAGTAAGCAGTAAGCCAGAGTCGAAATCCCCGCTTCGTCCAGCCTCCATCATTTCATAACATTTCCGAAGCGGAAAAATTAATTCCGCCATAAATTACGTCTAATCATAAAGCCGTCGACGGTTTCATAGCCGTTTGAAAAAGTGCAACCCAGTGGCAGTAAACATCTGGCACTAACGTAATAAAGCATCGACCAATAGCAGCCCTGGAACGGGCACTAAAGTGCACAAATCCGTCCCTGTCCCACGCCATCTTAGCATCGCCATCGATTCATCTTAGCGGCGACATCTGATTGTTATTGTGGTCGCGAATTCCTCGCGTGCAGGACCGTGTTTCACCTTTTTATTGCTCGTATGGATGTAGCGCCATCAGAGCACAAGAACGAAGAGCGGAAGTGTTGACAGCCGGCTTGATAGATGTGGTGCTTGTGCATTAGGCGCAGCAGCACGCCACATTTCAGATCTGAAGAGACGCGGCGCATGTGTGCATGCCGACAGAAGACGTCGAAAGATAGATCTGATGAGAAGAAGTGGTAGCCAGAAGTTACGGGTTTGTGATTTATGGGGACGGTGATTATGCAATGGGTGGCTCGAATGGAGATGAGAAATGGGGATTGTTGGAGGAAAAATGCTGGCACCTCCCTCGGCTGAGCTAGTGGAAATATCTCCAGTCGAAAATAAAGAATATAATCGGGAGTCATCCTTGATAGAAAATATCGTCGGTTTATGTCGTTCGTTGCTCTAATGGATTAGTGAAATATCAACACCGTGACAATTAAGTGCTGGAAATAAACTGTCAGGGATGACACTTTAGACTTACCCTCCTCGCTTTACTGAAGATTATTCACAATCTTTGCATAACATTATTTATGGCCATTCGTAAGTGTACGGTAGACTATACAGGGTCCCTAAAAATTATGGAAGCAGTACAATATCGCGAGAACGGTTTGTTCACTCAAGTTCTATTTTTTTTTTTATTTTTTCAAATTGTATACTTTATTTGTTTTTGAGATGCAGGGCGAACTTGATTTTTTTAAATAACATAAGAAGAGGCCAATGAAAATATATAAAATTATGTGGGGAGAGAACACTTTGTAGAGCTGAAAACTTTGGTCTTTGATTTTGTACCTCTAACAATAATTAATGAGATCTAGAGGAAAGCGGGCTTATTGACTCAATTTATATATAACTAGAAAGCGGATTTATAAGCACAAAAAAATTAAGAATAAGTGCTTAAATAAGCACAACATTTTCAATAAAAAAGTTTTATTTTAAGCACAAAAGCATTAAATAATCATAACACTTTCATTAAAAAAGTTTTATTTTAAGCAAAAAAGCATTAAAAACATAATCATATTACAAATCAAAGAACACTTCTTAGAACTTTGGATAAAATATTATTACAATAATCCTAGACTTTAAATTTTACACACGTATTTCAGTTTTCTCTAAAACAATTTATGATTGTAATATGTTCCAAGTTGTCCACTGTAAAATTTTTTCGCCGATCATTTAAAATGTGTTTAAAATTGGAGAATGTGCGTTCAACATCCACACTCGTTGTTGGCGCAAATTTGAATTTTGCAACTAATGTAGAATCTAACTCCAAATTTTCCACCTTCTGGCCTTGTAAAACACGAGCAACGTCGGAAAGAACACCGAAACCTGCATTTTTATTTAACACTTCGTCAAGTTTTTGAGATACTCTACTACCAATATCACCCCTTACTGCGTTTGCTTGTTGTTTAAATTCTTTCACTAAGTTTATGGCATCTACCAACAACATGTTGGGTTTTTCTAACTTTTCTATTACCTCACATACGAATTGATAATTGCTTCTTAGAAAAGCAAGATCTTGTCGCAAATCTTTGTTTTCCAAATATTTATGCAATCTTTAATCGATTGAGAAGAATCTTCGCTAAACTCCGTAACTACTTCCTCAAATTCTTTGATATATTTGTCACAATAAAATGTGGCCTGTAACCATGTTCCCCACCTCGTTATAATCGGCTCTGGGGGCAATGGTATGTTTGGAAATTTTTCTTTAAAATGTTGCACTCTTAGTGGGGCTTTAACAAAAATCTTTTTACCATTTGCCACTAATTTATTAACAGTAGGAAACTGCAAACGTATTTCTTCAGCCACTCTGTTTAAACCTTGGGCAATGCTAGTAGAGTGAATTAAATTGGGGTACCATATTTTTAGATTATTCCCTGCTTTCAACATATAACGAGCTCCATCCGAGATCATCAGTAAAATTTTATTCGCCGGTACGGCATTTGGCAAAAATAGTGACGTAAGATTGTCATTTACAAATCTGGTAATCGTATTGCCATTTGTTTTATCTAACACTAATCAAACTTACTACATACCCTCGACTAGGGAAATTTTCATTTAAGATTCCAACAATTAAACTTGCCACGTATCTTCCACAACTATAGGTTGTTTCATCGACAGCGAACCATAAATAATTATCTCCAATGCAATGCTTAATTTCGTTGTAAACTTGCTGAAACACTAGGCCTACATAATTTTTTCGGAGAGTACTTTCAACCGGAATATGTCGATTGCAGTGTTTTTCAAGGAATTCTTGAAGAGGGCCTTTCTCCAATTTTTTTAAAGATATATTGGACTGGATCATCATTTTACATCAATCGAAATTAAACTGAAACTGCTCATCTTTTGTGGAAGTAGATGCAACAGATTCATGTATGGTCTGCTGTTTAATTTTAGAAACTTCAAACATTTTCTTCCTTTCTACATGAAGAGTCGTTCTGACATGTTGCGTCACATTATATTTTTTATCACTTTGAATCTAAAACAACGTACATATACAGGATTAACAAAGGAAAATAGATAAAAAAAAATAGTGGGCTTACGGTTTTCACACAAGCTCTGCAGAATATTTTGTTGTTTTCTAATTTTAATTCTGGAAAATTTCTTATCCACTCATCCGGCGTCGATTTTACTTTCGGCATTCTTTTAAAATATTAGTAATATTACCAAAAAGAACTCAACATGTAACAAGGGAGAACCACTATAACACTGTACTACGACAGATGCGATAGACTGATGGTTGTGAAATAAACGGTTCATTTACTTAAAAGTTTCCATTAGAAAAATTTTAAGGTAGGTAGTTGGGTACAATAATCCTTTTTTCTAGAAAATCTTCAACGGTCTTGCCGCAAAATGCCGAAAAAGAACATCTGGTTAAAAGCTTTAATTCCATTATCAACGGAAGTAAGGATTTAAAGTCATAAAATCTATGGATTATTTTTCCAATCATATAATAAAATTTTATTACCCAAACGACCGGAACCTATTCACAGAAAGGGTCTTGAGTAAGTGTACTTCAATGATCAAGTCCAGGTAAAATGCATACGATACGATACGGCTAACTAACAAGTATTTGTCATCCCGACAAGGCCGGCATTTGAACAAAATATGCATTAAAACTCATATTCGTCGAAAAAAGCATTAAATAAGCATATAAGTTTTAATATGCATAAAATTGAAAAAAAAAAGCAAATAAGCATAAAAAAATGTGTCAAATGACTCCAAATTGTATCATAGTTACAGATATAAAAAAGTTTTCAAGTCCTTACATTTGTCACAAAAAGCATTAAACCTAGAAATCCGCTCTCGATATATAACACTTAACCATTGGATGCTGGAATTAACGAAGCAAATTTTGATTATACAGAAAATTAGATATATCGTTTATATTTCAATGTAACACCTACGCATTTTATATGTACTTAAATCCTACACTAACCAGTCAATGGATGATAAAGTACCCAATTTACATATTTAATTACTTACTTACTTACTTAATTAATTAATTAATTGAGCTTTGCTCGTGGAGATCGTTAAACTAAAGCTTAACTGCTTCATAACTATTTATTAATAATAAATACTTGTAGCGTCAAGTTGAGAATACTATATTACATATTAAATATACCGTGAAATAAATCTTTTTGGAACGGTCGCTGTAATTACGAATTTTAATTTTTAATCTAAAATAATTTACACGATATTCAGAGCTGGTGGCAGACAATGTAACTTCAAATGAAAAGCCATTTCGTGACACTTAGAAAATTCACTTACTCGTCTTACTTATGTAACTTTCTAACAAAAAAGAAATTATTCCATGTTTCAAAAATTTCAACTTTATTTTTGTTGCAGGTACGCCTTTTTCCGGAATTCACCGACGACAGTCTCCAAATTTGCGTGTCTTAGGTATATTCCTTAAAATTAATCCCAATTTTAAACGACAATTTAGTTAGAAATTATGGCGAATTATTTTTGTCTCTGCATTCCTTTTTCGGTATCAAGTCTTTAAAATCCAATTTTACAAATTGCGTGCAAATATAGTGTGCAAGTGACGTCTTATATCGAACAAAAAAATCGAACATCGAGTTCCTACTTAACGTCGTCTTTGTTAAGCGTGTTTAAAAGATGGTGATAGTTTTTATATTGTTATATTTAACTTAATGTGGTGGAGATTTGGAAACAAAATTCGAGTAAACACAAATGCAAACAGAGCATTAGTGACCACACCGTGAAGGTATATTATGATTAATTCCAATTTACACATGTGTGACCACATTGAATCGTATTTCTCTTCTAATTTGACTGAAGCCGCTTAATCATTGTTTTACCTTTCAATTTTCATTCGTTCATTTGTCGATTTGCATTTTTGCTGGTAACGTAGCCTGTTCACAATTTACGGATAAATCGTCATTGTTGGGTGATTTATTAATTAAATATTACTGTTGTTCCAATGGGCTGCTAATCAAATAAAGTCCAAATTCCAGCGTCTGTGCCGTCTCCACTTTTCTCAAATTAAGGAAGTTACTAGACCGAATACACCACTCGACTTAATCAGCGCACGCTGGTTCCTCTATTGTCAAACTCTCAGCCCGAGGTTTTCACGTTTTAGCAATCGCTAATTCAAAGTTCACGTAAATTGTACCCATCATTTACAAGAGAGTAGAGATAAAGAGCGATGGTGGGGTGGATAATATATAATTCCCGGTGCACACGCCTATATAACCTCTCGCGAATTTATGTGGCGAAGACTCTATTATTATTATGAATGAGTCGTGCTTGAAAACATTCGCGCGTTCGTGTTGCTATTGGTGATGCACGAATTGATTAAACTAATACACCTAGCAAGTTCTTGCCTGTCGTATAGATAAATGATGGTAATTGGAGGCGTCGCGACGGAAAAGTTCAATTTTTTAAATGTCGTCATATACATGACAGCGCCGTGCTGCTGCAAAGTGGCTTTTACTAGAAATAAACGCAGCTGCTCCGAAGGATTAAGGAATTTTTGTTTGCTCTGAGCGGTGTCAACGAGTTGAATGGATAGGCGAATTCATATTCCGGTTCAGGTCGATGTAAAAAAAGTGAAAAGATGTCTGCGGGGTTCTGTAATGTAGAAAAAATGAAAAGATGTCGTCGGTTTCCTGGAATTGCAAACGGGCGGAATACATGTCCTGGATTTTGATTTAACGAGCAATATGTTCCTTATTAGAGACAGTAGCGCTCATAATTGTTATTGGCAAACTGGCGTAGTATAAGCTGATTTTCTTTATAATATCCGTTCGCAAAACTCCCGCACTGTCAGTGTCAGATTTGGAAAAAATGACCTGAGTGTACTCAGTGGTGAGATGCGAAAAACCTGTACAATATGTTGCAAAATTGCAATCTAATGACAAATTAGTAACTAAAAATAACTTGTCAAATAAAAATGTCAAAAACACTTTAACTGAAGATTTTTATCAATTCAAGTAAAGAAAGAGTATGACACACGAACGACAACGAAAGCTGTTTTTGAATAATATATATTTTTGACCTTACTGTCCATTTCTACCCTTCTGGTGCTACAATTTGTTTGAATTACTGACAAGTTCTTTAAACACGTTGAACACTTCAGCAAATCAAAAAGGTAAAATAGTTAATAAACATTTGATTTTTCATTCATTAATTTTGAAAATTTGAAATTCAAGGCGGTAATCATATAAACTTAAAAACCTTTTAGAGGATTATTTCTCATACCAACAGAATGTCATTCTGACAGTGCGGGAGTTTTGCGAACGGATATTAGGTATACTTACATCTTAAACGAATTTTAAGACAATGAAATTTTTGGAAAAAAGAGAAAGTTGGAACTGACAGTGTTAATTTTACATAAACATGTCAAGCGTTTCCTTTTATTCTGCATCTTTTGATATACGTCAAAAAAATTGTACGTCCAATTTGTATCATAACCAATCACTTGTTTACCACCACTAAATGAGTCTTATTAAGAATATATTTGGGTGAACCATCACGAATCCCTTTTTTGTTTTAATGTCGTCCCGTTGTCGATATCTAAAAATTTCTGGTTTATATAAAGGTTCTTTTATTCATTACGTCTTTTTATATTCCACATCCACTGCTCATGCACATATTTTTACTTCCCTGGCGTAAGCTATGCTACTACTTTCATGTTTTCTCGACCTTCGTGTCCCCTAGAGTACGAAAAAAATAAGTGTGCCGTTCCCCTCTGTCTGTCATCTGTCTCTGTCGATTATTATTGGTAATCTCCGGAACTACTGGACCACTTGTTGTCAAATTTTGTATGTGTATTAGAAATATAGTAACCCAAATTTGACTAATCATCCCCGCCTACAACGTAAACGCCATTTACATTTTATAAAATAACATCCTCCTATACTTGTGGTTCATGAATCCGCCTTGATTTTATACTCTAGACGTCTAGATTTTCGCAAAAAATCCAAAATTACATCGTCTGGTAAACTCGTTCGTAAAAAGTTTGAATTATTAACGCAATACGGTAAACTTGCGACCGCCTTTATTTAATAATAATAAAATAAGGATTATCGTAACAGCAGCTACTTATACAAAACAAGATTCTGAACTTTTTGCTCCATTTTAGTTTAATAATTTAGTCGCCTCCTCTGTTTTGAGGACACAAAGTTATTCAAACCAGGCAGCTTGCGACGTGCTTAATCGTCGCTTTCGTTCGATGTAGAAACATAAACACTCCAAGTTAAGCATATACTGGATAAGACATTTTTTCCTGTTTGTTATCTGTTTTCAATATAGTTATTTGTTATTTACACCACTGGCTTTTATTTTATTGTCAGAAAACAAAAATCGCAAAATAAAATTTTATAATTTTTCTCAAACGTGGTAGTTGCTGGACTGTACTTCAGGGGTGTGGAAAGTTCTATCAAAATAACCTTTAACCATTTTTTTTTGCTTTTAGATATTTGACAAGTCACCGACACGGGATTCTACCTGCTACAGGCACAATGTCATTTAAAGTCTGTTTACATAGTTAACTTCACAGTGCATATAAATTTAGTGGATACAAAAATAACCTTGCAGAAGTAGTTATTTCTATTGTATGTAAACGAAGTTTTTCTTCGCTACAATGCTGCCCCGGTGGGAATCGAACCACACATCTCCCACTTGCCGGGAGGGTGCCTTGACCACTAGGCTACAGAGCGGCTTATCTTTACTTCGCTTACCTAGCTATTATTGTGCCGCCACACTATAACTAGTGCGTGAAATGTTACCTTCATGAATTAAAACCACAATGAAACTACCTGAAGGGTATTTCAAACTTTTTGCGAATAAATTACACCAAATTTTTATAGAATATTTTAAGAATAAAATTTTTTATTTGTATTACTACTCTGTCAGTACCATACTCATTCTGTAGAAGGGGCCAAGTACGAATGTTGCCAAATTGTGCTTTGTACTTTGTACATACTGTCAACTGTTATTATTGTGTATTATATATTTCTTAAGTAAAAACGTATATTGAAGACATTAGCATTTTATTTATTTTTTGTTCAATGCATTAAACATACAAGTTATAGTAATTTGTAAATGAATAAAAATAAAATACATTTGAGTAATTATAACTCTTAACTTTGTAGTGTTTCTGTATATTTTGACTGTTTTTACTTTATGATTGTTCCTGGGACGAAAGTTGTGAAAGACCTAGGGCGTAGTTTAATTATTTTTTACATAAATTTCACTATTATTGACACTAATTGTTTATACGTTACGAAATAAACCCATACGTCGCCACGGTACGACGCCTATTGGTTTTCTCGAGGGCTTTCTAGTATGTACGGCGATGATGGGCGACGGCGACCGGGCCGCGTTCGCATAAAGAAAATCCTGGAGCGGGTTGCCAGAAGTCTCGATGACAAGCTCCAAAAAAACCTCGAAGCGGCGTTCACTGACCATCCAGAGAAACACAAGATTATTTAAACCGGAATCACCACCGGGAACAGTCAGTGGCGTCCAGTAAATGAGAGAATGCGTCTAGTCAAATCCGTTACAGTCGAGTCGAAATTATTCTGTACATAATCAATTGACACCCCCAAGAAGGTTTTACATTTTTAAAAAAAGACAGTTGGTACCCCCGAGAAGGTTTCAACTAAAAAGAAGACATTTGGCGCACGACGAATAAAAAAAACCATCACAATTGAGATAGGGTGGGTGGGCGGGGCTTATATTTTGCTTTTCTTTTCTTAATATAAGTAATCATGTTTTCACAACAAAAACTTAAAATATGTTTAAAATGGTAAATTTTTATAGGGAAATATGGATTTTGCAGATGCTTCACTCTTCGGTCTAGCAATGAATGAAAAATTTATCACTAGATTAAGCCCCACCTTAATAGTGATGAAGTTTTCATTCGTTGTCAGACCGAGAGGCGGAGCGTAATTGCAAAACCCATATTTCCCTACAAAAATCTACCATTTTAAAAATATTTTAAGTTTCTTGTTGTGAAAAGATGACTACGTATTTTAAGAAAAAAGGGTAAAATAAGGGCTCCACCCACCCTCCCTCTCTCAATCGTGATAATTTGTTACTCATCGTAAGCCGGAGGGCTAGGCTTAAGTGCAAAATTCTTATTTTTCTGTGAGAAATAACTATATGTATTACGTAAATAAGAAAACCAATAGATAACCCCCCCCCCCCCCATATCTTACATGGTAATTTCTTGTAGAGAAATAAAGATTTTGCAATAAAGCTCCGCCCTTTTGACTCACGACGAATGAAAAAAAATCATCACAATGGAAATAGGGTGGGTGGGCGGAGTTTATATTTCGCCTTTTTTATCTTAATATACACAGTCATCTTTTCAGAACAAAAATTTAGAACATGTTTAAAATGGTAAATTTTTGTAGGGAAATACGAATTTT